AGCAATTTACAATAATTACTTCTAGAGTTATTGCTCTTATTTCACTTTGTTAAACCTTGTTAATGCTCGATTGATAATCCGATATGTATGAAATTTATATGTATCATTTAAATTTGTGAAACAGGTCTATTGAATTTCAGCAATTTCCGTCAATAATTTCTAGAGTTATGGCGATTGTGAACGTTTGAATGACAAATGTGATCTGTATGAAATTTGTATGCATTATTTAAATTAGTAAAACGAAAAAGCCTGTCAAATTTCAACAATTTCTGTAGATTACTTCCAGAGTTGAGACCCTTGTTTCAGTTTGTAGAACCTTGTAAACCCTCAAACGACAAAATTTATAATCTGATCTGTATGGAACTGTCTTGTAAAGGCTCCCAATTACCACAAAGGAATAAATATGCGACAACCCTTGACGACCGCTCGGACGATTTAGCTGCTGTGGGCGTATGTTTTGTTGCCTGGCAACCTATCTTATATAAAGTCTCTTTGTATATAGAACAAAAACAAGCCTGTCTTTATTGATAGATCTCAATACCACAAGAAAATATTGTATCCACCGCCATGTTTAATGGGGTCGTTGCTGTTTGGCTACAATTTTCAGAGTTGGGTAGAGGTTCTAATAATTAGATTCCTTGGCTATATTTTGAATTATTATTGTTTTTAGATGGATTTAAATTATCTTTAACAAAACAGTTAAAATAGCTTTGCCTAGTTTCTCATATAAAAATGTAGAAATACGTCTCCCAAACTTATTCACATGTCTAATTTTGACATTTCCCTTCGAGCCTCACAGTGAGTCACACGTGTTTGTTTATGTACGGTAAATCTGTCTCCAGAATAACTTCGCCCTTCAGTAAATATACAGCGACACAAGGGCGACTTCAACTTCGCCCACTAGTTCGAGCCCTGCTTCAAAGGTGAACCTTGACGACGTTTGGTATGATGGAACGTTTGTAGCCTCTGTGCAGGTCTCTTCAGTTACAACTTTACCTTTAGTACAAAAAATAAACAGAGCATACAACACAGCAATGAGCTTCTGGGCCCATACCAGCTCCACAATCACATTGACACTTGTCGATTAGGCCATATGAATTTACAGCAATGTCAATATTGTATTTTACATGCTTTTCGCATTTCAGCTCTACACTGACTTTTAATAAAAGAATGCTCCTGTTTCATCTACGGTCTTGATGTATATAAGGAATTTTTCATTCACAAGATTTATGCTCTCTCTACTTAAACTCTTATTCAGGGAACCCAGATAGCTTTCAATGTTGTCCATAGTTATTTCTGGTATGACACTTCCCTCATGTAAATCTTTATATAAGTGTTCTTTCGGTGTGTCCATTTGATACTCAGACTGATTCACCACTTGGGATTTTCCAAAATTAAAATTCCTTTCATATGCTTCCAAACTGAAAATATAAAAATAAAAGAAAGGTAAATAAAACATTCAATCAAAAAGAACAGAGAAAATAGTTCAGAATTAACATTTTCCCAGTTTTCTTGGATTTTAAACCAGTCTCTTGTGCATGATTTATCAGAAAAAATAATATTTGAAATTCTATTTCTTCTATATTACATATATTATAACTTTTCTAAGTATGATTAAAATTAATGCAATGAACTGATATGGTATGTTGCCCGATAATCTAAAATTCACATTTTTCTGGCATAGGCCTAAGCCTACATTACAAAAAGGCCTACAAACCTACAGCCCAATACTACCACATATACTACCTTTACTATTGTGAAAAACTGACATAATACTTGAATTATATGAAATAAAATTTAGTTAATTTGCGGAAAACTTGAGCTACTCGATCAGTTTAGGCCTAATAATAAAGCTAAATAGACTTACCGGTACATTTACAAGTTTAATATTTATCGTACAATTTAGGCAAGTTTTCTGCATATTAATTGATTTTTTTAAAAATATAATTAAAGTGTTCTCTTTGTTTTTAACAATAATAAGGTAGTATGTGGTGGTATTTGGTAAATCGTGCTGCCGTCAAAAAGTAAACAAAAAAGGCCTATTATACCAACCGATCGATCAACTCCTGTTTACGGCATGATAACTTGGCGCCCCTTCTGCTTAATTCTTTTCTTAACTCTGTGGTGCTTAAAGAACCAAACTTCAAAGTTTCACCAGTGAATTCCATTGTAAAAGATGTAAGAAACGTAACAGTTTACTAACAAACAGTAACTAACTAACTGACTGAAATACTGACTTCTGCTTTGCAATGGCGTAAACAAAAAGTCACGTGGAACCATAGATTTATACTATAAACACTAGATAGCGCTAAGCCTACACAAGTCTAATAATAGAATGGTCTCGCTCAGGAGAAACAAAATGGCGGCTATAGAGGGGCAAACGTCAATGGTGGTGAATGGCAGTCAATAATGTTTTGGCCGTTTTTTTTGGGGGGAACATTTGGTGATTTGGGAGCGCATAATATCTCAAAATTTACATATTTCCTGTACTTTAATACTAAACTACATTTAATATGAAATTTTGAATTCCCAAAATGTCTTATATTTAATTTGCTAGGCCCATTATTGGAATGGTGGGCAAAGTTGGATCTACTTAATTCAACAAATTCAAGGATATTTTTTTGCAAAACATGCGAAAGGAATGTACTAAATAAAAACATAGGACTTTGATTGATTTTGATTTTGAAATAAAAAAAAAGTATCCTTCTAAATATTTAATTTTGATGGAAACTATCCCTGAATTTAAATTGGCCTAATTAAATTTTTGATTATTTCTAAAGGTAAAAAGACTATAATTACTGTATATTGAATTAATTGTGCCTGATTGATCGGGAAAAATTGCCCCCAAAACAGCAAACAATTGTTTCACTAACCTTAGTGATTAAATAATAGTTTCTCAACTGGAATTAATTACTCATGTAAAAATAAAATAGTAAACAATAAAGTGGGGGACCCCTCGGGACTACATCTTATGTTTAATGCCATCCGGTGCGAATGTTCTTAAAGTGTGAATCCATTTGAATTCATTGGCTTTCCTTACGGCATCGTTTTTGCCGTTATCTGGGTCAGTCTTACAAAGCTCTATAATTTTAATCATAACATTTCTACTCGTATGTGTCTATCTAAGTTGAAGTGTAGTGCCGCCGGCTTTGGCATGTTGTGTCTAATATCTGCATAGTGTTCCTTTATTCGTTTTGAAAAGACACGTTTGCTTTCTCCTACGTACGTATTGTTTTTTGGAGGAACATGTTAATAGTTAGATTATATTTCTACTTAAACAATTATAGCCCGTGCGGCAGGAATATTTCTTGGCAGTTTTACCACTAATAAAGTAGTTATTTTGGTCTAATTTGTAGCAGATATCACAGTCCTTCTTGATACATTTTTCGAATAGATTTTGAACCGTGACTCCGCTGGTTTGCGGGTCCCGTGGTGGATAGATGAATCTTGCTTTCTGCAGCGTATCCTTCAAATTAGGATTCCTCCTAAATGCCGTGATTGGTTTGATGTTTGAGAGGGAATGGCACATGTCCGATCCGTTTAATAGTAGTAGTAGTTTGTTGTGTTTTACGTCCGCTTCCACCGAGGTGATATCGCAGACAATCCGGTTAATAGTTGTTCTTAGCGTTTCACGTCCGCTTCCACCGAAGGTGATATCGCAGACAAGTTCATTTTAATGATCTTAGCGCACGCGCAGGGGTCTTTGCTGTGGGAGGAAACCGGAGTACCCGGAGTAAACCCACAAGGTTGAGAAGGCGCCCCTATCTCCAAGCCACATACGCTCACACCTGGGATCGAAACCACAGCCGCAAGCCAGAGGTGACCGGCCAACTAGAGGTCGAAGCGTGACACTCTAGACCACTAGGCCATCCTAACTTGTAGTCTCGGTCACCCAGAACCTCCTAGTCTTCAACATACGGAGGGTCTGGGAAGGTTGTCAATATTTGACGTAAAGTCCATTGCCCATGCGTAACCAGGAGTTTGGTTTTTAATGTGGTTGATTATCCAGTCTCTTTAGCCAGGTCAAGTAAGAGTTGCGCCCCTTCCCACAATAAATCCCATAATTCTTGCATTAATATAAACAAACATGAATGTGACGACAAATTAGGATTAATTTTAAAAGCATAGATATGGCCCATGGAGAGAGAAATTTTACAATAAAAAATTAAGAGTGTTAAATATTGAACTCGCATGCAATCAAATGGATTTTTTGAAATGACATTCTTAAATTAATTTCATGGGTGTAAACATCTTGTTATTTACATGGATACAGTTGAAATTAGGATGTCATATTGTTTTATCTCGAGCTAAAGAATAATCTGAACACATTTCACTAATCTTCAATAAGATATTTTGAAAGAACTTATCAAAATTAATTACGGTTTATCTCTATAATTTTTAAACACAACACAAAACAAGACAATACGTTCGCTCTTAATTCTGAGCACGACCCTCTCCTGGGGTTAAACCAATCCCACCTGACTGGGGTTTCACATAAAACTTTTCCCGTAACATATCGGGTCATCCCAATTTCATAGTATTGAGGTATCACAAAATAAAAAAAATCTCTCCCGTACATATCGGGTCATCCCATTAATATTTGGGGTATCACAAATAAAAATCTCTCCCGTAAATATCGGGGCATCCCATTAACATTATGGGTAATATACACGTATAGACAAAACAAAAAACCTTAGAGATAAATACTGTGTGAATGTTATTGGGTTAAATTCCAAAGTACGATACTGTTAACCCAATTCTAGTTGAAAAATCACAAAAACATTTTACTTTTCGATACTAACCTGTTAATACTAATTTTAAATGCCAAAATATGTGTTCAAAAACAAACAATTATAATTTATAATCAGATTTTGGTGTATTATAAATGTTTCATTACTGAAAAAAGTAAAAATATGTGACAACTCTTGTTGACTGCCCGGACGATTTAGCTGCTGTGGGCGTATGTTTCGTTGCCTGGCAACCTATCTTTGTTATTTTAGGGTTAGACACTAGAATACCCAAACATTGGTCCAATCGGACCAGAAACGATATTAACATTGAAGAATTAAAGAAAAGTAGTGACGAATACAAAATAGTTGAAAAGAATTTCAAAGCAACGCTTGGTACATTAGTATGCAGTATTGAAAAGGTTAGTGAAATTTTAACAGTTTTAGAATCAAAGGTACAAACGATATATGATTGTAAAATTTTGTATTATAACAATGGATGGTTGGCGTGCGCGCGCTGTATCATAAAGTCTGTCATTGAGTCGACTGGCGTGGTTTTGAATCCTCGGTTGTACGTGACAAGGAGTAGGGTCACCTGTCCAACCTCGTGGGATTTCTCCGGGACCTCCGGTTTCCTCCCACTGCTAAAGACCCCTAAACCCTCTCTCTCTCTCACTCTCTCAATTTTGATGAAAAATATCCCAAAGATCTTGCTTTCTTTCGATAATTGCGCAGACCTTAAGCTCCTTGATTATGGCCCCTGATTGTAAGAGAAAATCGCGATTTTAGCTTGTGGGTACTCTCGAGGTCACAGTTTTTGTCTGATTTTAAAAATCGTTTAAATATATCATTGAGTTCGAATTTCGTAAAAATTGGACTGAAACTGCCCGGCAAAATGGCCGCGCCTTGAACGCAAATAGTGTAAAAGTGTTTTGGTCCGATTTTGATTGAACTTAAAATATATGTTTATAACCCAAATATGTCAGTTCCTTTGGATATTCGCACATATCAGATAATAATTTCCTGGATTATGGCCCCTGATTGTATGGAAAATCACATTTTTAGCTTGTGGAACCTCTAGAAGTCACAGTTTTTATCCGATTTTAAAAACCTTTTAAATATATCACCGTTGCACCATAAGGAAGATTAAGTGTGAATTTTGGGAAAAATGAAACAAAATTCCCGACAAAATGGCCGCTCCTTGTACACAAATTGTGTAATTAAAAGTATGTTCCTTGTACACAAATTGTGTAAAAGTATGTAGTAATGTAGTACGAAGATTGTGGACCTTCTAGAGGTCACAGTTTTTGTTCATTTTGATGAAACTTAAAATATATCTTTATATCCCAAAGATCTCAGTCCCTTTCAATATATGCGCATTTCAGACCATAAATTCCTGGATTATGGCCCCTGATTGTACGAAAAAACTCTTTTTTTATCCGATTTTGATGAAACTTAAAATATATCTTTATATTCCAAATATCTCAGTCCATTTCGATATTCGCGCATTTCAGACTTCCTGGATTATGACCCCTGGTTGTGCAAAACATTGCTTCTTATTTTTTTTTAGCTTGTTCTCTATTCATCTCTTTCAAAATGTGGGTGTATCTTGCCTGGCAACCGCTGGTTTGTAGTTCTGTTTCCTGTCAACAATATTATGAACAATGCCTATTTGATTTAGTTTATACATTTCCACAGATTGAAAGAATAGAAAATAAACCACTGTATCAACAATATGCATCTAAAAAACTACAGATGATACAAGAGCTGACAACACAAAAAGATGTAGAAAAGGACGTACTTTGGCACGGAACGGTTGAGACATCTGTTGATAATATTAACCATGGTGGTTTTAATCGTGGCTACAGTGGTAAAAACGGTAAGAACACGCTTTGACATTTTTACAAAGCAATAGGAATACCCGGTATGTGGACTTAAGGTTTTAAATCAATAAATATCGCATAGATATTTAAATTTGAATAAACATCGTACTGTGAGGCAATAGTAGCATATCTGGCGGAAAATCTGCTTTGTATAAAGTACACATTATTTACAATAGGTCCGTATTAAATAAGCGTATAAAAAATCAACTACAAAGAATCAAAATAAGTTGGAAGGATTGACAGATGACACGGGTGCGATATTATGATTATTCGTCTAACAAACATAAACACTGTGCTTAAATTTCAAATCAGTTGAACAAAGGCAATGCATAGGTAGGATCAGTTATCTTTCTGATTACATTTCAAATTTTTCGCAAATTGTTGTCCCTGTCGGTCAGCTTGTTAGTCCATCCACCCGTTCGACTTCTGTAATAACTTTTACACATATTTATAGAAATTCCAGTTATTTATCATGCAATTATTTGTAAACTAATAATCACTGTCCGATATTTGCAGTCATTGCCCTTCAGTTTGAAATATTGTAATATAGAGGTGTTGGGTTTTTTTTTATACGCCCACATAGAAATGTCGTTGTATATTGCCGTCGCCCTAGTCTGTCGTCCACAATTTTTTGTGAACACTCTACAGACTACATTTATCATCTGGTTGTTTTGAAATTGATATATACTCTTCAAAAAATGTAGGGGATATTGAAATGCAAATACCTATGCAGGTTGTCATATGATAAATAGTCATGGACACTTGAACTTATCGCCCCAACAGAACCTTCTGAGCTGCACATGCGACACGCAATAGCGCTATACACGTGGGAGGGGTTCATTGTCAAATTTGACACTTCAAGGAAGGGTTGATGAAAACTGCCGCATGCTGGTTTATCTATCCATGTTTGCTTTCCTATCGGTTCTTGCATAAGATTTACTGTTTAGTGTATCTTTGCTTTAGTGTGTTACGTTTAATTTGATCGGGAGACATGTTCGTCGAAGTCCACATCAACCGACAACACTGCAAGAATTGGCCGTGGAACTGCAAGAGGAGTGGGTCAGATTGCCCCAAATCGTGACGGTTGATTAGGAGCATGCCACGACGAATGGCTGAATGTCTGAGGATTGGTGGAGCAATTACTCATTATTAGGACAAAAATCAAAAACGTCTGTTTTCTCTTTTGACAGTGTGTCTCTTTGCGAGTGAAATGGGGCCGTCAGATAAGCTGCTCACATGAACTGTTTATGTTCATGTGTAGGCAATTGGCCTGTTATTAACATACACTGGTTACCTCTAATAAAAACAGCAGTGCATTTCCGCAGTTTTGTATTGTTTCTGAATATCTCCTACTTTTTTTGAAGAGTATACATGTATGTTATTTACATTATTGAGATGAAGAGACTTGTTTAATTTTAATAATTTCCGGTCATTTCGTCTGGAGTTATGGCCCTTGTTTCACTTTGTTGTACTTTATGAACACTCTAATGACAAAAGTTATCATCTGATCTATAAGAAATTTATATGCGTCACTTATATTAGTGACACCCTATTGAATTTCAGCAATTCCCGTTAATTATGTCTATAGTCATGGTCCTTGTTTCAGTTTGTTGCACCTTGTTAACACTTTAACGACAAAAGTTATCATCTGATCTATGCATCATCTAGATTAGTAAAGTGAAAAATCCTATTGAATTTCAGCAATTTCTTTTTATAACTTCTACAGTTATGGCCCATCTTGTAAATGTCCCCCCCCCCCCCCCATTACCTACAAATATATGACAACCCTTGTCGACTGCTCGGACAATTTAGTTGATGTGGGCATATGTTTCATTGCCTGGCAACCTATCTTTTTCAAACTTTCTCTGAGTTAGAAAATGTTAAAAACTTTCATAGCATTGAAATGGCCAGAACCTTTAGAAATAAACACAACAGTTCTATGGATAACAGTTACTGTATTTCTATTAAAGCTACGTTTCAACAATGATTCTCTTGTCGTTTCCAACTAATGTGTTTAATTACTAAATGCCATTCAAACAGTAAACCTTTAGAAATAGCTATGCCTGGAAAGTATATTTCAAATTTGGTTAAATGGTTTATTGGCAATAAACACAACAGTTCGATGGATAACAGTTACTGTATTTCTATTAAAGCTACGTTTCAACAATGATTCTCTTGTCGTTACCAACTAATGTGTTTAATTACTAAATGCCATTCAAACAGTAAACCTTTAGATAGAAACAGCTATGCCTGGAAAGTATATTTCAAATTTGGTTAAATGGTTTATTGGCAATTAAAATTGAAATTCTGGTGTAAATTTCATAGTTTTCTCTTCCTTTTTGATTTGGTTTTCAAATCTTATCAATGCAATTCAGGACCAATGTGTGAATGAAATTGGTTTTATTATATAGGGACATAGAGTTGATGAAACAACACAACCCAATATCTCCTTTTTTCAGTTTATAATTTATAGCCAAATAGCTAGCGCTCATGTAAATGAACAAGTAGTCATTTTCGACTTCTTGTTAAATCGCTTTGATAGGTATGTTGCAAGGGTGGTCTTTATTTAGGTTTATTCAAATGAATTAGCTTGTTCCTAAAGTGGCTGGTCAGAATGGTAGGAATCATCCTTACCAGTTTTTTAAAAAGATAAAGGGTTGCATTCTAAAAGGGTGCTGTTTGCTTACCTTGTGGTCTACCCCATAGGAGTGCGTCTGGATTCTTGAGTTGAAAATTTTATGTATTTTGAATTTCTTCTAAATTGCTTGATGGGCGATGATCATTGAAATAAAGTTACTTGACTTCAGATCAGCTGGACATGGGCACCTTGAAAGGGCAGTTTGTGGTATTTTAGACCGCTTGCACCTAATCCAATCAATGATTACAAGCAAAATTGGTAGATATGTTACCCTATTAATATTTGTTCAACATTGTTACTTGACCCAATAGGAATGATGCAGGGACACCTTGATTTGGCAAATGGGTATAATTAATTGGACATCAGTAAGGGAAATGAAACTAACAATACACATGTATGTAAATCCTCTGAAATAAAGCAAAACAAACTTTAGATTTTTCAAACTGTTATATATCAGGATAGCATTTTTAAATAATTGTACAAAAAAACAATATATATTATTATATCCACTGCATTTAATTTTTATTTCCGATATTTGCAGCTACTTGTTTTGGCCAGGGAGCCTACTTTGCAGTAAACTCAAGTTATTCAGCTCAATCCAAATATGCAAAGCCAGATAATAATGGGGTTTGTCGAATGTATCAATGCAGAGTGTTGGTTGGAGAATATACTCGAGGTGAATCACATTTGAAACGACCACCACCAAAGAAATCTAACAGTGAAGAGGAGTACAATTCAATGGTTGATAATCTAAGGAATCCAACAATGTATGTAGTATGTCATGATGCACAAGCTTATCCTGATTATCTTATATATTATAAGCATGGCGCATAGGATCTAACCTAAGTGATTTCATGAATGATATAACAATCTAAGAAAAGTAACATAGTATTTAAAATAGGATCAAACTTATATTTACCAGTATAATTATTTTTTGAATGCTTATTCTATTTGATGTTACTCACAATTTTCTCGGGGTAACCACTAACCAGTTATTTTTTATTTAACCACTTGGCATTTAAATGCTCTACCCGGGGGGCCAAGGCGGGGATAATCATTGGGTCTTTGTAGGACATATATATACCAATTCCAATGTGAGAACATGCAACTAACACCTGTACTGTTGTTATACAAACCTTTATCACCCGGTAACACATTCTGTAGCAGATAACGTGTATGTGATAACCTTCAGATTCTACTGAGAGATACTTCATAGGTTACATATCAATTTGATTTGTCATTTATTTTTTTATGCGTGTAAGAAAGGGTTTTGCGATAAATAAAATCTTCTAATCGTCTTTTTTGATATCAAAAAATATTAACACTCGTTGGATATCAACACAGACAAATTGCTCACTAAAACGTCAATAAAGGTAAATGCATTAATGATCAGTATTAGTCTGTAACCATTTGTTTCCTTTTGTTTTGAATAATCATTGCCATTATATTCTTGAATATGCATATGTAAATTGATATAAAAATATTATATTAACTTGACTTTGTGTCAACTCGTGTGCAATTTGTTATGTAACTCTACATCCGTTTTTTTCTATGATCATAACCTAATTTTGGATTGCAAATTAATTAGCTTGGTACCATTCAGAATAACACATAGTTATTTTTTAATTACTGGGAAATGCTGGTTGGCAGTGTTTCTTCTTGGGTTCTTTTACGTGCACACCAAAATGTATGTGGTTGGATATCTTGTTTTACAATGTACCATTCAATTAGCTATATAAACAATAATAATATCGCACTAGCTCACTAACCAGGAGGTTTTAGCTTCGATACAGGTGTTGAGTGAGAAAGTTCCTACTCATGTCAGTGGTGCATGGAAAATGGCCTAGACGTTAATAGCATCTGTTGCTCAGATGAGACAAAAAATCGAGGTCCTGTTATCTTGTTGATTTAAAACTATACTGGTGATACGGTTAGAAAGAATAAAGTGTATAGCTATGCACAATAATCAAATACCAGAAGGGTTCAGACTGCTTAAACAAATGAAATGAAATGAAATTGGGTTTAATGTCCTACTGTTATGCTCCGACTGGGCTAATGAAGACGGTCATACGCCATACAGTGTGCTATGAGAGAAATTTTGACCGACAGCGGCACTACGGCCTACTCTTATATCGAATCATACACAGTGTTTAAGGTCATGAGACGAAGAAGCCTATTGACTTTTAGCAATTTCCGATAATTACGGCCAGAGTTATGGCCCTTGTTAACTATTATAGCGAGAACTGCAGCTCTTTATCTAATCTCCCATAATGTATCTTTAACTATTATAGTGAGAACTGCCAGCTCTTTGTCTTATCTGTCGTAATATATCTTTAATAAATCAATTTAATTAGATTAGACCGTGTCAGAAATAATCATCAGTGATTTTAACATATTGAAGGATACGTTCGTTCGTTCCTTCATAGAGTTTTACGTTCACTTCCACTTGAACCATACGATCATAGAACCTTTTTTATACGCCCACATTGACTTCAGATTGATACACAGAGTTTAAGATCTTGAGACGAACAAGTATATTGATTTTCAATCAATTTTGATAACTTGAACAGCTAAATCCATGATATTAAAAGTTTCGTATACTAAACGTTAGCATGGGGCAGAACTTTACGCAAATCTATACACATAACAAAATTTCGCATTCTGTAACAGGGTTAAGACATCCATTTATTCAAATAATGTCTGATCTGTTTTAATCATATTAATTTTATTATTACGATCTCGCATTCTACGCCGCTCTGTACTAATGTGTTATTGTTTCTTTTATTGTAACTCTAGTAATAAAACATTCTTTTTAATAATTATATTATTAGTTTTCCATTTGGAAGAAGTTTTATCTATTGTATTATCCATTTCAAAAGCTAATATTCAGTGGATTGGAGTACATTTGGAATTTGGGAGTGTAAAATTGGTACTATACGATGTGACCCAGAAGGAATTCTTTGAAAACTTGGAAGATCTGAACTCCGGTAAAGACTGAAAGCCAAGACCGTTCGCAGATTTCGTCATAGGGTGATTATTGACAAGATGGTGGGTTTTGGTTTCAAATCCAAGTCCTTACCATATTAAACATATACATGAGATAAAACAATGACTTCACCAATGTTATGGCTAACATTAAACAAATTGGTTAAATTCCAACTTATTGTATAATTCCCCTTTTCATAAATGTGGTTCCTTCTACTAACAGCAATGCTAGAAATAGTTAAGAACCTACATACAAACTATCTTTACTTGAAACACCTCTTCGGATCACAGTGTCTGCATGTCCCTTCCATGCTTCTGTACAATCCAAATACTAATTCGTTCAAACGAGATAGTTACTCGTTTAAACGGATTATATTTTTGTTTTGTTTGGCACTAATGGGCCCTCGTCAGGAATACACCTGGGGTCGGTTGTTCAAAACAAAGTTATTTTAACGGATCATTATCTTGCTAACCTGTCATTTGTTAACTTTACTGTCCGTTAAATTTCCCTTGCTGGAAAGTCAGTTTCATTATAGCTAACGGGCATAGGGGCTCGATGACAGTGAGGGGGGCAGAACCCATAATGCCCGAAAAAATTTCGGGTTTACAGACAGCAGCGACCTTGTATACCCCCCGGCCCCCCCTCCCCCAAAGACAATTTTGGAATATTTGACGGCTGCAAACACGTTTTCCTGCTATTGCAGCCGTTGAACAAAGCAACTTCAAAGTGGTCTAATATAGCCTAATTAAGGTGGCTGACTCGGAATTCCAATCAATCGTTTATAGTCCTCGAAGACGGGACCGTTAGGAGTAAATTTTGAAAATTTAACTGCCGCAAACGCGTTTTCCCGATATTTCAGCCAGTGAACAAAGCAACTTCAAGCGGTCTAATATAGCCTAATTAAGGTGGCTGACTCGGAATTCCAATCAATCGTTTACAGTCCTCGAAGACGGGACCGTTAGGAGTAAATTTTGAAAATTTAACTGCCGCAAACGCGTTTTCCCGATATTTCAGCTAGTGAACAAAGCAACTTCAAGCGGTCTAATATAGCCTAATTAAGGTGGCTGACTCGAATTCCAATCAATCGTTTACAGTCCTCGAAGACGGGACCGTTAGGAGAAAATTTTGTAAATTTAACTGTCGCAAACGCGTTTTCCTGCTATTTCAGCCGGTGAACAAAGCAACTTCAAAGTGGTCGAATATATATTATAGCCTTATTAAAGATGGGTTCCCAGAAAAGTATTTATCGGGTGGTTATTTGCAATAAAAGTATGGCAATTTTGGTATGGAAAGTAGAGATATCCAATCTTACTAGAAAAATACTGGATTCCCCAAAAAACACTCATGGAGCGTATACAGGACAAAAATGTAAGGGTTCCCCTAATCAACAGCCCGACGATTATGACCTTCTGCACGCACGATGTCAAAGGTCACAAGCGAACATTGAGCGCTTGATGTACAAGTTGATAAACTTTATGAAGAGTTAGACGTACAATACTTTCTGAGATAAAAATGACGGAAAAAGACGCGGGTAGTGGATAATCCGAGAATTTGATTAGGATTCGATATTTGTAATAAATAGTAAACGATTAAAGACAACATCATCTTGTGTATGCAATGATTTCTCCTCTGACTCCCAAGACGTGACGTAAACATGACCTGGTTTGATCGAATACAGCAACTTCAATTTGGTCCAATATAGCCAACCTGGCTGACCCGAATTCCAAACAACCAATCAATCGTCGCGCGGTATATGGAGGCCTGACCCTCCCGGAGAAAAATTTGAAAATTTAATCACCGTAAATGCGTTTTCTGCTATTCTAGCCCGTGTAAGCAACTCCAAAAGTATCCAATGGTTTTGTAACTGAAATCCCACTCTGAATTCTAACCATCCAATCAGCCTGTTGCATCTGCATTCACAAATAATAATCGATGCCTGAAAAATGTCGCACAAAGTAGAGTGGCTCCAGAGAAAATGTTTTAATCCATAGTCAACTCAGTACAAATTCGTGATATTCAATTACAAGAAAAGTAAAATTAGTGTTTTATTAGGGCTCGATGACAGTTAGGGAAGCAAAACTAGAAATGCCCGAAAAATTTCGGATTTATAGACAGCGGCGCCGGTTTTCTTTGAGAGGCGAATGACCCGCCAAGAAAATTTTGGAATATTTGACGGTCGCAAACGCGTTTTACTGCTAGTTTCCTCTGCCGCTTTCCGGCCCGATGCCCGTTTTTCGGGCAATACCGTTTTTTCGGGCATACCTATCATAAGAGAGCTTCGGGCATATTTTCAGGCATATGCAGTGGACAAGAAAAAGACGAGAAAATACTTTTCGGGCAGTGTGGATCTCATAGAAATAAGTTAGTTATATTTTTTCTCTAAACGTTAATAGAAAAAAAAGGCCGTCGAATTTTTCATTGCCCGAAAATAAATTTTTAACTTATTCAAAGAAAAGACTGCTTGGCCATTGGCTGAATTTTAAATATTGAAATTCAAATGAACATGTATAACAACTTCATAGAAGTTAGTATTAACAAAAAACTGGAGAAAACTTGATTAAAGACAAACAGATAATTTTAAAATTTGACAACCTTTCAATTATAAAATACAAAATACACTTGATTATGATCACACAGTGATGCTCTAAAGGCACTGATCAGTCGGTCAGTTTTAAGGGCGCCTACACGCCAATAGGTACCTGGTTCGTTAGCCCTGGTTCAAACTTTCTTATATCACTTATGTGGAGGATATGGAGTGCCACCACAGGACGGACCCAAGGGGGGGGGGGCACCAGGATCAAATGCCCCTTCTAAAAAATCTGCCGCCCTGAAATAAAATCGACGATATAAAATACAAAATCGACTCTTCGAGTGGCACGAAAACCATGTTTCCTGCAGAATTAATTTTCAAAATTTTCTGAGAGTGGCACCCATAATACCGCCCCCATAGGCGAAGTGCCCCTCCTATCACCCCTCTCTGGATCTGCACCTGCGCCACCACATGACATTAGAGGGTTCGTTTTGGTCGCCCTATCCACATATCGGTCTTTGGGGGCGCTGCCACCAAATGATATTATTAGAGATACTCGTTCTGGTCGCCCTATCGATTCCACATGGCCTTATTAGTGTTTCAGACTGTTTGGGGCGCCGTCAACAATACACATTACAAATTGCTATTTGTATGGAGTGAGGCATAGACCAGTCACATTTTTATAAGCCCAAATTAACATGTGGTCGTATATTGTCGTCGCCTCCTTCCGTCCGTCCGTCCGTATGAGACAGTGTTTAAGGTCATGAGACGAAGAAGGCTATTGATTTTCAGCGATTTCAGATAATTACTGCCAGAGTTATGGCCCTTGATCTTGTGAACGCTCAAGAGGCTAAAGTTAATATCCGATTTACTTTAAATTTATACACAGTGTTTAAGGTCATGAGACGAAGAAGTCTATTCATTTTCAGCGACTTTCGATAATTACTGCCAGAGTTATGGCCCTTGATCACTTTAAAAATCTTGTGGGCGCTCTAGAGGCTAAAGTTAATATACGATTGACTTTATATTTATACACAGTGTTTGAGGTCATGAGACGAAGAATCCTATTGATTTTCAACGATTTCCGATTACTGCCAAAGTTATGGCCCTTGATTTCTTTGAAAAATCTTGTGACGCTCTAGAGGCTAAAGTTATCATCCGATTGATTTCAGATTGATACACAGAGTTTAAGATCTTGAGACGAACAAGTATATTGATTTTCGATGAATTTTTATGACTTGAACAGCTAAATCCATGATATTAAAAGTTTCGTATACTAAACGTTAGCATAGGGCAGAACTTTATAAAAACCAAACAAATTCTAATGGTTTTCTGATAATTACTTTATGAGTTATTACTCTTAATCAGATTTTAGTGTATTATAAATGTTTCATTATCGAAAAAAGTAAAAATATGTGACAACACTTGTTGACTTCCCGGACAATTTAGCTGCTGTGGGCGTATGTTTCGTTGCCTGGCAACCCATCTTTTATTAGGCCCTACTGTGTAGTTAAAACTGTAATCAGGTATGGTGACTCATTGTGGGATGTATGAATAATTCACACATCTTTTACATTATAAAGTATGTGTTGTACTTTCCTTATACATCTCAGATCGACACTTATGGTCTGGATCCTGTCATCACATTCGGATTATTATAAGATAAGTGTTCATCTTGATGTCTAGTTTTGATCTATTCATGAAGTATACCTGGTGACTAGTTGTAGTTTAGAGGACAAGAAGTTTCTCATTTTGGTGTATTTCACATCAAAAGGAGAAATAGTTTTCTGAAAATATAACGGCAAGTTAATGACAAATAATCTAACTAAGGCTATAATAAGCTCAGCAGAGCAATCTATCCCCCGAACAAAAGAAACTAACAGGAAATCACCCAAACCTTGATGGTCAGATAATCTACAAACTCTAGTCAACATCCGAAAATCAGCGCTGCGAAAATACACACGTAGGCCGAATGAGGAAACTAGAACTGACTACCTTGAAGCTAAACTTTCCGCAGAGACAGAAATCAAAAAGGCCATGGAAGAAAACTGGCAAATCTTCTGTAACTCTCTCAATGATCGAACAAATATAAAAACAATATGGAACAAAATATCAGGAATCCCCTGTAAAAAAGTAAGACAAAATATACCTCTATTAACCTATAAAACCGAAACAGCCTTAAATGATACGCACAAAGCAAACTTGTTAGGAAAGACCTATGCATATGGCTCTAGTAACAACCAACACAATGAAACATTCAAGGCAATTAAAAGTAAATTCTTAAAAAACCAACCTCCAATAATACA